ATGGCAATATCTATCTATCTATCTATCTATCTATCTATCTATCTATCTATCTATCTATCACCACAAATATGTTCATTATCTATCTATCTATCTATCTATCTATCTATCTATCTATCTATCTATCTATCTCAGACTAATCATATCTATCTATCCGATTCTGTTCATATCTATCTATCTATCTATCTATCTATCTATCTATCTATCTATCTATCTATCTATCTATCACCACAAATATGTTCATTATCTATCTATCTATCTCTCTATCTATCTATCTATCCTTACCAGCCCGTTCATATCTATCTATCTATCTATCTATCTATCTATCTATCTCAGACTAATCATATCTATCTATCTGATTCTGTTCATATCTATCTATCTATCTATCTATCTATCTATCTATCTATTTATCTATCTATCTATCTATCTATCTATCTTGCATTCTCTCAGAATTCTGATGTAATGAATAATGGCTCGAAATGAGAAATAAAAGAAACGAGTTCGCATTCCAGTCGAGTTCGTTACTTTCACCTACGCGCAAATATCCTTGGGATAGTTATGAATCCATCTCTTCTCGCCCAGTTATGAGTTGAATAGCAGGACAGACTGGGTCCTATAGCTTTAGTTAGCAACCTGGTTGCCGCAGGAAGAAACGGTCGCCTACTGCAGGAATATCTTCTGCTTAATCTGTCATAAATCTAAATAGACACCGTCGCCCAGGTGATGGCTCTTAACTGAAATAGTCAACAAGTATCCAGGTGAGGAAGTTGTGGAGAGTCATCTTCGCTCAGGAATTTGAAGAGAAAATAATGACTTAATTATGATATCGACGTTACACACTACTTCGAGCAAAAGGTTAGGAATACTCGAGTGAGCGATAATAGCTACTGGACTTGAGAAACCTATTTCCCCGATAAAAGTTTAAGAGAAAGATTTAAATTTTTTTTCCGAAAGCAGTACTGAATACTGAATGTTTACTTATAAGGAAAAGGCTAGTATTACCATTACTATTAACATTGAATTTTCCCAACAGCTCATCTGAAATAAAAATGAACATAAAGACGGTTCAGAACAAAACAGTCATTGGATTTTATAAACAATTTATCTGAATTTCGCAGACAAAAACAGCAATGAAGAGGAGAATAATCCAATATATTTATTGATTATTACCAAGAAGAAAGTCGCTCCATAAGTGCTCTTAGCTGATACCCCACCAAAACAATATCTCGTAACACTATGTATATAGGAATTTAATTTTGAATCGTAACGCTTTTGTTTTGAATAGTTTTGTCTAATTGTTTCTGTACAGGCGATTCCCCGCCCCATTAATACTTATTATTCAAACATTTTTAACAACAATAATAAAAAATGGTGCTATATATAATTGACAATAAATATGTATATAAATATTCTTCTCATATTTACAGACTGAATTCTAAGATCCATTATTTAAACTGAAGTTAAGAAAATCGTATGAATAAGTGATCCATTTGACGATGTCCAGTGTGTTGTGTTTGTATGTTTCTATATCTAAACCATATAATTGTAATTTGATGAATAGATTTAATCTAATAATATTCTTTTGATTTCAACATTCAGACCGATATAAATAATCCAGTAATTGCCCTTTGACTCGGAAGGAGTCTACAGCCTTATTCGGCAACCTTCCAAGAGATGGTACCGCGATAAAATCTCCACGACGCCTATGCTATGTACAGGTTAATAAGAGTAGATAGGCTCGACTATCGCTAGGCTTCTAGGTTTATAAAATAGGAGTAGAGGTTTATCCCTAGTTCCTGTTTAGGGCATGGTTTACCGGTTATACTTTTCTTACATAGTCATAAAGATTTAACTATGTTAACCTTTTAGTGATCTGTCTGATCATTGGCTGAGGATACAGGGTTAGGTGTACTCTGGTTGCTGCATCTCGACCAGTAGTTGGTAGCGCTTAGAGACACTACTCTTTTCAAGTGCCGCATAATATAGGAGAATCTGTAGTGCCATGTCACGCATGGGTAGTTGTCACTGCTTGTGCTTTTGGTGGACAACTCGGAGGCCACACTATACTGTGCAGTCGGCAAAGCAAAAACAAATAACGCGCATGCGCGAGATTAAAAATATAAAATGGCTACCGGCTACAAGTCCAGTGGGCTTAATTGCCGGCTTCTGAACAGTTCCCTCTACACTGCTTAACTCACAAGACTTAGATCAATCCCGTGGTATGGTTTTCGAACATTTTCCAAAGCTACCCTACTCTGGAATAGACTTCTCATGCCTATAACGTCAAGAAATCACTTTTCTGGCTAATCGATCATTGTGAGATTCGAACACGGGTCTGATTGTCAGAAGGTGAACATTCTAACCATTCGGTCAATCACAGACATGTATGCACACATACATACTAAAAATAGATAGATGAAACAGTAACAGACGTATATAATAATATATAAACCACACGAACATACATATATATATATATAGATATCTCTCTTATAAACACACATATATATGTGTATGTGTTCGCGTGTGCGTGTGTGAAAAATCCTTCAGAGATCGATAACTGACGCTAAGGCAATATGAAATCTAAGGAAACGGCACAGAGGTTTTGCCAATGTCGGAAATAGTGTTCGGTTTGCCAAGGCCAAAACCAGGCTTCTGCTGTTCGTTCTGCTAAAAGACAACGAAGACTCCTCTGGGCACCGTCTGACTTGTTTCCAAAGTAAACTATTTTCTCTCAGAACAAATCTATCTATCTATCTATCTATGTTCATAACTATCTACCTATCTCTATTCATATCTATCTATCTATCTATCTATCTATCTATCTATCTATCTATCTTAGCCTGTTTATTGAACTTGATTACTTGTTATAAGATGGCTGATGCCAAGTAAATTTTCTTGCCCTAGAGAAAGCGTGAATGTCATTTCAGTGATCTCCCAGGTCACAAAGTGTTCCATCAAATCCATTATGTCTTATATTCTTTGGAGAACAGATGCTTACTGCCAAGTAAATCGTATTGTCCTCGAGATTCTATGAAGAACACAGCAGGGTAAATCTCATTCATGGGATCAACCAATCTAATGCTATGAAATCAACGTATATACCCGTATATATCTACCTGGTTATCAGTGTGGAAAGCAGCATGGAACATAAATAACCTTAGTTCAGAATTGTTTGTGTGAAGCAAGTGATATATTGAAGCCTCGGTTCTAAGTAGATCAGACGAGGCACTTGAACAATGACAAGCTGATTAATTTTTTAATCATTTCTGTTATGGGATCTTACCAATAATAATAATAATAATAATAATAATAATAATAATAATAGACTATTCCATACTTAATAAATACTGCGCCTCAGGAGTAGTCAGTCAGTAGTTCACTTTTGAACCGACTGCTCGGTTTGAACTCTCTTCACTACGGGCGGGAGGAACCCGAAGGAGGCTACGCCGAAGGGCGGAGTCTCCTTCGGGGAGGTAAAACCGGCCCTGAACCCGTTTATACGGGTTCAAATGGGCTATTTTTTTGGCCGAGCCTAATGGCTCGGAAATGCCCACGTAAAAAAAGGCCTTGTGCCACATGACACCCTCGTGGGGGGGGACTGAATATCGTCAGTCCAGTCGCTCAAGTCTTGAACGACAGATCGGTGAAACTCTCTGACTTCGGGTGGGGAAAAACCCGAAGGAGGCTACGCCGAAGGGCGGATTCTCTTTCGGGTTAGGTAAACCGACCCTGAACCCGTTTATATGGGTTCAATGGGCATATTTTTGGCCGAGACCACGTTAAAAGCCCTTGTGCCACATGATGCCTATGTGGGGGGGGGACTGAATATTGTCAGTCCAGTCGCTCAAGTCTTGAACGATAGATCGGTTGAACTCTCTGCCTTCGGGCGGAGTCTCTTTCGGGGAGGTAAACCGGCCCTGAGCCCGTTTATACGGGTTCAATGGGCATATTTTTGGGCCGAGCCCACGGGCTCGGAGAACCCACAATAAATAATCGACATTGTGTCACATGTTGCCCACAGTGGGGTGGTGGTGACTGAATATAGTCAGTCGGTCGTTCGCTTTCTCGACCGGCTGTTCGGTTGAACTCTCTGCCTTCAGGCAGGGAGGAACTCGAAGGAGGCTACGCCGAGCGACAGAGTCTCGTTCAGGGAGGTAAACCGGCCCTGAACCCGTTTATACGGGTTCAATGGGCATATTTTTTTGCCGAGCCTACGGGCTCGGGAACCCGACATTAAACTCAGCCTTGTGCCACCTATGACTGCGTGGGGCAGTTACTAAATAGCGTCAGTCAGTCGTTCGCGTCTCGACCGGCTGATCGGTTGAACTCTTTGCCTTCTGGCGGGGAGATCCCACCTTAAACCGGCCTTGTGCCACATGATGCCCTCGTGGGGGGTGACTAAATACTGTCAGTCAGTAGTTCGTCAGTCGATGTCGGACGACCGACTGATCGGTTGAACTCTCTGCCTTGGAATAGTGATACTGGTCGAGACTACATTGTTCTCTCTACTAAACCTGATTGTTCATACTAACACTTCTACTTCTCTGTATATATTCCTGTTTGTAATATATCTGTGTTATTCCATACCTGAGTTCGAGTTCTTCTTTATTGGTTCTACCTTGGACTATCACCGTGGTACAAGGAACCGGACCATAACAATTTCACCTTAAGTAAGTCAATAAAGCTACTAAAACTCATGGGGTTACTTGATAATAAATATGAGGAAGAAAAAACTATTGAGGAGAGAGAAGAATAAAAGAACAGAGATTAAGTAAACAGTAGATAAGGATTGACATTGAATCTAGATTTTTGAAGATCAAAGTTGATTGAGAAGCATGAAGACGGAAGAGAGTTCCACAAGGGAGAAGTGCGATAGAATAAAATCTTAGGATAGAACTTTTAAGCGAGGGAATATAGAAAGGGTAATTGATTTTTTTAAAATTATTTCACACCGAGTAACGCAATAAAACCTCTAAGACGCAAATGGTTACTTGAGTGTGTGAGAATATGAGAGAAAAAAAAACACGAATTAAGGAGAGAGAACAATAAAAGAAGAGGAATTAAGAAGACAGTAAATATCGATTGACATTGCATTTTCATTATTGAAGATCAAATTTGACTGGGTAGGAAGAAGCCTGAAGGGAGCTCAGCAAGCGACAAGGAAGAGAGAAGAAACTGTTAGCATAGAACTTACGGTTATATTTAACCCTCTCAAGTGTAAAATGATGAGACAATCTGCAAATACAGATCCGCACTGAAATTCATAAAGATGGGTTGAAATATTTAGGAGGACACAGATTAATAAAATGGAAGTCACATACTTGACTGGATGAAATAAACGATATCTTTGATAACTCTCTTATAGCTACGAATGGGAGGTAGTAGAATTTACCGGCTGAAGTGAAGTTGTTAATGCTTATCGAAAACAAAACATTGATTAAGTTTTAAGCAATGTTCTCGTTTTTAATGTTTAAATGAGGTACGTATGGATGAAACCAAAATAATAAACGTCAGAAAGAGACAGTTGAAATTTCAAGGGCGCATAATGAGGAAAGAGGGCTTGGAGAATTTGACACTCATAGGACATATTGAAGGCAAGAAGGGTAGAGAAGATCTCTTTATTATTATTATTATTATTATTATTATTATTATTATTAGAAGAAGAAGAAGAAGAAGAAGAAGAAGAAGAAGAAGAAGAAGAAGAAGTTTGTTTAAATAATTCTCAGGAAAGGAATTTGGAGAGAGAGCGAAAAGAGAAAATTTATAAAGAGCTACAAAAGACAAGAAATTGTGGAGAGCTATGATCGCCTTTGTGAGTAAATGGATGTTAGAACAAGGTTTAGGAGAAATAACTAAATGACAAAATTAAGATCTACAAAGGACAGGAAATAGTGGAGAGCCATGATCTCCTACGTCCTGAAGGGACACGGCACATAGAAGAAGAAGAACTTCTGGATATGGTGGTCGTGTAAGGGTTATCAGAACAGCGAAATAGAATCGGGGAGTCGAGTTCAAATTCTTGCTAAGGCCATTGCGTTTACTTCGCAATTTATTTGTTAGACAGAAAGAAAAGTGTATCTAGCTGTTACGCAATATCAAACACGAATGTTGGACAATTTCTTTATAGAGGAATTGGAAAGTCAAAACGAATATTATTAACAGAATAATGTTAAGAATTCCATGGACTGAACATGGACGCAACAAAGAATTTCCGAAGAAAATGGGAACTAGAAGAATATACTTTTTTACCATGATGCTCACCCTGGCTCTAGAGGTAGAAAGTTACAGAGAAAGAGACACAGTTCCTGTAGATATGTAGGGAAGATAAAGATTAACACTAGGCTTGAACAAGTTAAGATTACAGTAAACCTCTTGAGAGTCGGTTCCACAAAGTTGCGATTCCGTGGAACATAACATCAAAAAAATACGAAGGGAATGAGGGTGGTTTGCTACAATGTTCGTGTCATGGTGGGTCTTAGATGTGAAGTTTAGAACTGAGGAATGTCATTCAATCTGAACACTTTCCATGGAAATAACGATAGGACAGCGAGAGGCTTGCGACGTTTCGTCTGTGAGGAAAGGGGTTGTAGGGTGGAAAATAATTTGTCACCCACAAGGACGTGTAGATGCTTTTGGACTCTATCGCTAGTGGAAAGTGAAGATTGTACAGCTCTTACTCAAATATGACAACAGTACTCCATTTTCAGCCTGATCTGCCTCTTGTAAAGGTAGAGGATAGCATGAGGAGTCAGGTACTACAGAACAGCGGTTCACGGGAAGAAGTTGTTTGAGTAGAGCTTAACATCTCACTAAAGGAATACGAAGGGGAGGAGGATGGTTCACTACAATGTTCGTGTCATGGTGGGAACTGGTGGAACTAAGAAATGTCATTCAATCTGAACACTTTTCCATGGAAATAGAGATAGAGCAACAAGAGGCTTGCAACGTTTCGTCTGTGAGGAAAGGGGTTGTAGGGTGGAAAATAGTTTGTGGCCCTAAAAGTACTAGGGGACGCTTTTGAACTATTGAAACTGTAAAGTGAAGATTGTCAGCTCCTCCCCATATATGGCAGCAGTACTCTATTTTGAGTCTGATACAAAGAACCGACTACGTTTCAGCTTCTTTAGCGATGAATCGTATGTCCGAGTTCCACTTGAGTTCAAATCCTAAGAGGCACTGAAGAAACGGGGACTCCCTCAGAGAGCATCCGTTCATCTCAATAGATAAACATTCGGGATTCGCCTCCAGAATGTCACAAAATAGTTCATTCTGGCCTCGGGACAAAACGATGGCAAATAAGGTTTTACGATACGCCAGTCTTACAAGTAAGGATATCACAACACCTCTTAATTGCTTTTGTTCCCAGGTCCACTGAGTGTAGCACCTGTTAGGGCCCCAACTATGGACAAATAGTGAACACCCCAAACAAAAATCAACAGTACATTTTTATAATAAGATGACCAACAATACATTTTTATAGCAAAACAACAATCAATGCAACACTAAAAAAGATATAAGAATACATTTTTATAGTAAAATTACCAACAATGCATTTTATGATCTACAATCTTGAGTGTCGGTTCCATTAATTCATGGAAAGAAGCTGCCTGATTGGAACTTACATCTCACCAATGGAAAACAAAGAAAAGGGTAGTTCAATAGAATGGGCGTGGCAGGGTGGCTCTTAGTCGTGAAGGTTAATTGATGAAATTAAAGAATATAATTTGTCTGAAGACGTTCCACGGTAAAAGCGATAGAGCAGCGAGTGACTTGCGACGTTTCGTCTATAGGAGACCTACAGGGAACCGACTAGTTTTTTTCAGCTTCTTTAGCGATGAATCA